TTTATAAATCCAAGGATTTATTTTTTCTACCCGCACGAGCTTAGCTCAATGGTTTAATAGGTACTATTTGAGAGAAGAAACTAATGTTCAAACCTCGACGGTGGCAGTGTGGGAATTATGTCCAAAGTGCACACTGACATTTGGCCCTGCTATTGCTGAACCATTTCTTTTGGAGCGTTATGTTATGCACCATGCATGGTGCACAGGGATGCAAAAACGACGTCGACTTAAAAAAAAATCATAACTTCATAACTATACATCCAGAATTACATAACTACACATCCATAACTTCATAAGTATACATCCATAACTTCATAACTATAAATCCAGAATTGCATGCATAACTACACATCTATAAGTTCATAACTATACATCCAGAATTGCATAACTACACATCCATAACTTCATAACTATAAATCTAGAATTGCATAACTACACATCCATAACTTCATAACTACACATCCATAACTTCATAACTATACATCCAGAATTCCATAACTATATATCCATAAATTCATAACTATAAATCCGGAATTGCATAACTAAATCATGCATAATTACACATTCATAACTTCATAACTATAAATCCAGAATTGCATAACTACACATCCATAATTTCATAACTAAAAATCCAGAATGAATAAACTAAAAATCTAGAATGAATGAACAACATAATGCTGTTGCTGAGAATCGAAACTAAATTTTTTTTTTAAAGTGAAACACACATTCTTAGTCAAAACGACATTCTTATTGCATCTGTATGCACCATACATGGTGCACACGGATACACATCATAATTTGCCATTTCTTTTTCCTTTCTACCAACTAAAGAACGTAACTCAAGATACTTTCCTTTCAAATCACATCTTTTGATGTCAAAGATTTCTTCAAAAACTTCCTGGTCTTCCTCTTTCACATTAAAAAAAATAATAATAATAAAAAAAAATTAGTGATCTTGATTTTGCCGGATTAATCATAAGTCCACATGACCCTACCTCTAGAGCGTCTACAAAAGTAAATCAAGAGTCGTGCAATCGACTTACCGATCAAATCCTAGTCTTTATGTGCGCAAATGAATCCAATCCAGACTTTTCATTTCTACTAAAAAGAGCGTTGACTTCCCATAGTTTATAATCTTTGTAAAAGGCCTTAGGAAATTCCAATAGCAAATCTTTCAACACCTTCCCTTCAAGGTGTTCAACCTTAGCCTTGCAAAAGATATAGCAATCATATGAAAAAAGTAGGTGAGATATGACAGGAGCTTCTTTCAAAATAGTCACACCATGAAGAGCCTAAAAGCTCTGCGCTTTGGCTAAAATTTGGGTTGTTTGACCTCGGAAGAGCCTCAAATCTCCGTACTTTGGCTAAGTTATAGATCGCTCGATATTGGAAGAGCTTCAAAGCTCTGTGCTTTAGCTAAAAAATAGGTCACTCGACTTTGGAAGAGCCTCAAAGCTCTGCACATTGGCTAAGTTATAGATCACTTAACCTTAGATGAGCTTCAAGGCTCTATGAAACTGTGTCTAACTTGCAATGTGGATACGATTTTATGTTTATAATTACTGAATTATATGTTCATAATAATAAAGCTATATATTCATAATCTTTGAACTTCATATTCATAATTATTGAACTCTATATTCACAATTACAGAACTTTATGTTCATAATTAATGAATTATATGTTCATAATTATAAAGTTATATATTCATAATTTTTTAACTTCATATTTACAATTATTGAATCTCTATATTCATAATTACAGAACTATATATTCATAATTATGTTCACAACTCTATGTTCGTAATTATAGAACTATATATTCATAAATTTTGTCCACAGTTCCAAAGCATAATTTGCCATATTTTATCTCAAAGAGGAAAAGAAGTATTGCACCCGCGATCTTTCATTTCAGTTGGTTGGACAGTAAGCAATTACACTGGGGGACTTGTAGATCTCAATGGGATGCCCTTTTCAACAAGTTTATTGGATCTTTCGTTATTTGGCTAGTCTTGAAGAATAAATTAGCCCACAAATATTTCTTATGTACTTGACTTGCTAAGCTATCTAACATGATCCCCGTTGGGCTGTCCAACTTGAGTTGCTAGTATATTCAATTTGACTACTGGGTCGTCAAGTTGTACACTGAAATGTTTGGTAAATAGCTATTAGTTAATAGTTGATTAGGTTAGAGGACTAGTTGATAGCATTAACTTATTGTAGAAAAATGTTTCGTATATTAATTGATTGGCGATTACATGAAAAATGACTTTTTTAAAAAAGTTGATTGAAAAAGCTTTTTGAATTTTAGCGTTTTAGAGCAATAAGCTGTTACAAAAAAGCTAAATAATTTAACACTTATATTGGTTGTTTAATCATACAGTTAATAGTAGTCAAACAAGCCAAAATTAACTGATAAGCTAACTAAGTTACCAAACAGGGCCACTATCTTTTACAAAGTATGGAGATATGTCCTAAGCACATATTCTTGGAATAATTGGAGTTCTACTTCCTTATGCCGACGACTAGAGTGACTCAGAAGTGACAATTTATATCCTGGACCAGGGTTCACCATGCACTGTGGACTCTGGTTCAATACACAGAATTTGACTTCATAATGTGCAGAATTTATGTTCATAATACAATACACATAAACACAATATAATAAAGACACATAAATACTTATCAAAATACACAGAATTCATATTCATAATATATAGAATTTATGTTCATAATGCACAGAAACATGTTCATTATATCATGTTTATGTGTATGTGTATTCTGAATATAAATTTTGTACATTATGAACATAAATTCTGTATATTATGATGTCAAATTATGTGTGTATTAAACTAGGGTCCACGATATAACGATTGCTCAGAAGTGGGACTAGTGTTAGGGTTATTATTCCACTTCTCCAAGGCCCAATTAAATTAATAGCCCAAGTGATCTACAAGTTCATTGAAAGTTAACCCAAGAAGATAAAATGGGCAAATTACAGGGCGTTTGGTTGGAGGAATTTTAAATTTTCTTCCCACATAATTCCAAAGGTCATTAAATTTCGTAGTTTGGTTGGAGGGAATTGGAATTGCAATTCCTCCATTTTCATGGAATTAAAATCCCATGTCTGGGGATTTTAATTCATGGGAAAAAAAGATAGTGATGAGTCAAAATTATCCCTTCATTTTTTAACCTAAAATTAATGTCTAACAACAATAATGGACATTTTTGACTTTATACTACTTATTCCCTTTCAATTCCCATGTATACCAAACATTGGAATTGAAATTCTCAATAATTCTATTCCTGTCAACCAAACACTGGAATTTAAATTCCCACTATATTCCCAGTAATTCAACTCCCATGAAATTACAATTCCTTTCCCATATAATTCCCTCCCCCCCCCCCCCCCCCCCCCCCAACCCAACCAAACGCCATGTTATTGTGTGAACCACACAATTGTATGAACCATAAATATCAAATACATTTTTAATATATTAAAAGTACATTATTTTGTACTGAATGTACATTATATAAAATAATGTACCCTTTGTATATTAGAAATGTACTTTCAAAAGATGTACCTTACGTACATAAATAATATACCTTTAGCATATTAAAAATGTACTTTTTATTTATGGTCCATACAATTGTGTGGAAAATGATCCATGCAATAATGATTGGATAAAATCCACTTAAGTAGCCTACTTAAAACTCAAGAAAAGGCCTCCCCTACAAAAAGGAGAAAAGACAAATGACTAAGGGCATCCCCAAAAGGGGATTTTGGGGAGATTTTGGAACAGTAAAATGCATTTTCACAAATGGGAAGGGGGAGATTTTGAGGGAATTTTACTCCTGCAAAATGGAGATTTTAGGGGGCCCACTTGGAAAGATAAAAGGGAGAAAGAGATGGTAGGCGCGCCTGCTGCGCCCAGCTGGCGCGTGCACTGCACGCGCCAGCTGGGCGCGTGAATACTGTTTTTTTTTTTTTTTTTTTTATATGTCAGGTTTTTTTTTTTTGCTTTTTTTTTCTTCCCTTTTTCTCTTCCCTCTACCCTCTCTTTCCTACATGGCTATGACAAAATCCCTTAAAAATGCCTCACTAATAAGGATGCCCTAAGGGACCTTATTTCCACCACCTGCCCACTCTCCAAGAAAAAAAAAACTACATAGCCCTCTGATCTCTTTCTTCTTCCCCACTCCATTTTCTTCATAGTTTGAAACTCCATTAATGACTTCCAACAAGGCCAAATGATCATTATACCTGTATTATGACATCAAATAGTGAAATTTTTCCCTTTAGAACTTTCCCCGTTAAAATCTTTTCCTCATTCCATTTATTTATGTTATATATTTAGCTCATCCTATGATTTTATGTTGGGATCATAGGATTAAAAAAAAAAAAAAAAACAAATCAAAACTTGGACTAATTAAAACCTAGTAGATTACTGTTTTTTTGAATACTAGTAGATTACTATTTAATTTATAATAACAATACATTTGAGCTAAATTTTGGTTTCCACACAACACCACCCCAATAATTTGATTTGAATTATATCTGACCTCACATTTAATTTTGTCCCACAAGAATACAATATAATCTTCATTAAAATGCTATAATTTGATATTAAATTTTGGCCAAAATAATTCAAACTTCTGGGTTGTTGATTGAAACAAACCACCTAAAATTAGAACACAATGTGCCACCACACCCAGAGAGAGATCAGAGACCCTACTTTTTGTTCAACTTTCATAACATAATCATATTTGGCTTCTTTTATGGTTGGAGTGTCAGTTTTTGTGGGAGATAGTCTACACATTTCAATCAATTCTATTTGCTTAACTTCATTCTCACCCTCACCTTTTATACTTTTTATTTCTTTAATTTGCCTTATGTTCTTTCTATTCATCATCCCCCCATGCCAGCCCAGATATCATTATATTGCAAGATACCTTAACTTGTTTCTTTTCAGGTATATATATATCTCTTTCCACATTCTCTCCATGTGTAACAATGCCTATATATGGACTTTCTCATGTCTTACAACCTTAACTTTTTGTTACTAGCTATATGAGGTTAAATTAATTTAATTAGTCCATACATATCCAGCTTCAGTCATTATATTCTTGATCAACATATATGGGTTGGCGTGGGTGGTACAGAAAGATCACTGGCCTTAAGACACGAAAGAATGGTCCGTCTAAATGGTTGCAGGTAATTTTCTTTTATTATTCGATCTTTATATTTGATCTGCTATCGGTTAATTGATAAACTAGTGTATCACAAGTTAATTAAGTGAAATCATATTATTCTTGTTTTTTGGTTTATTATATTTGGGCAGTCAGTAAGAACCGAAGCAAATGGTGGTTCAAGCAAGAACAATGAACTGACTGAAGAAATTGCTGCCACTAGAATTCAAAGAGCCTTCAGGGCATACAAGGTAGTAACTTTGTGTTAATTGAAGCATGTGCTCCATCTCAACTAAAAGCCTAAGCTGATAGTTGGATTGCAACTGCATGTGCTCCATTTCAACTAAAAGCCTAAGCTAATAGTTGGATTGCACATTAATGGCTATATGCTCAACAGTGTTCACTGCCCGGCCTTTAACGTTAATGTTTGAATCTTAATGTTGACTGACATGATAAATTTTACTTATAACTTCGGCCCCATACACGAGGAATGACATAATTGGCTTTCAACATAGTATTATTAATCTAAATTCAAAATCCCAGTAGAAGAGGTATACATACCCTGAGAATGGTGCATGTTATTTGCAGCAGGGTAGAAAAGCTATTCGGCGTCTAAGAGGGACAGTGAAATTCCAGGGCGCCATTGAAGCAGCTTATAGTGTAAACGACCAAGTTGCTGCAACTCTGAAGCATATACATTCATGGAGCAGAATCCAGTCGGAGATCAAAGCCCGTCGCCTCTGCATGGTCACTCAAGGCCGGCTCAAGCAGAAGAAGATTCAGAATCAGATCAAGCTTGACGCTAAGCTTCATGAGCTTCAGGTGACATAACATAACATGTTTCTTTTCTTTCCATTACTGCTTCTTTTGGAAATTTAAGGTTTTTAATTTGTTTGGTACTCGAGAATAAGGTAAGGGTGAGATGAATTCGTTTCCTGTATATATGCATGTTAATTAAAACATTTGTTTGGTTTCTCAAGTCTCTCTGAATGGTGTGAATGAATGAATGATTTATTGTTCAAAAGGTACGTCCTACTACCTACCATAATTATCTTCAGCTTATTGGGGCATTGAATTGTGAAATTAATATGATCTGTCATGACAGAAGTCCATGCTCTGGTCTCCATCATTTCTGGGTTATAGCAATGCTAATTAAAAATGCACACATTACAAATTTAGTTCGAGTCTCGTTTTTGAGTGACGAGAGAAATTTGTAGTCATTATCCAGCTCCGCCTTGTGATCCTAAGTGGGTTAGAGTCTCCTTCTTGCTATCATATCAAGAGGACATTTGGATTAGAGTATTAGCTTTCTTGGTTTGAGCCAGTCAACTATGAACAACCTTGACTAGTTTACCACCTTGTGATCATTTGCCGACTAGGGTCACAAGACGGGGTTTACCCAGTGCACACCCAGTGGCTGCGGGTTTCCCTCATCACCCCAAAAAAGATGACATTTGGGTTAGAATCGCAGTCTTCTTGGTTTGAGTCGGTCAGCTATGAGCAACCTAGGCTAGTTTACCACCTTGTGATCTTTTGCCGATTAGGGTCACAAGGCGGGATTTACCCAGTGCACATCCACGGGTAGTGGCTGCGGGTTTTCCTCATCACCCCCCAAAAAAAAGACATTTGGATTAGAATCTTGGTTTGAGCCGGTCATCTATAAGCAACCTAGACTGATTTATCATCTTGTGATCCTTTACTGTCTAGAATCACAAGGCAAGATTTACCCAGTCCACACCCTCAAGTAGTCGCTGCGGATTTTCCTCATCACCCCAAAAAAAAGGACATTTGTAGCTTATATGCTTAAATACTTGATTAAATAAGCTCTAATTTCATCTAGTTACACTTGATGATGACTCGATTCAAATAAGTTTTAAGATGCACATTGATCAGTTTAACTCCCATCAACAGGTGGAATGGAGCAGTGGGTCAGAAACCATGGAGGAAATCCTTCAAAAGATTCAGCAGAGGGAAGAAGCAGCTGTTAAAAGGGAAAGGGCAATGGCTTATGCATTTTCTCACCAGGCTAGTTTGCTCTCTTTATACTATTCACCGATCAAAACAACCCTTCTTCCCCACTCATTTCCTTATAATCCCGACACTCAAATTTAACAATCGTTTCGATGATTTGCAGTGGAGGGCAAATTCAGGTCACTATTTTGGGCAAGCATACTACAATCTGGGGAAAGAGAGCTGGGGATGGAGCTGGAAGGAGAGATGGATAGCGGTTCGCCCATGGGAAATCAGGGTTCAAGCAGACCCAAAAAAGGCAGGCAAAACAGCAAGCTTGGGACCTGTTAAACTTGTTGTTTCAGTCAACAATCCTCCATTGTCAAATGGTAAGATCTCGACTCCAGCAAGAAAACCATCTGACCATAACCCTGAAACTCAAACTCCCCAAGAGCCTGTTTAGACTCGAAAAATCTTCCATAGTTTTTCTATTTATTTGTTATGGTTGTGATGATGGAATTGAATTGGTTTGTTGTGTCTATACCAAGAAAGAAACAAAAAGAGAAGAGAAAAAAAAAAGTGTTTTCGTGATAATGATGAAAGGGATGATGGGAACTTCTACAATATGTTTTTTGGATTCTTGTAAGCCATTTATTTATTTCTGGTTTATGGTGTAACCACAACTATGGTCTGTACTTAATGTTTGTATACAAAATGAACACAAACAAACAAACCCTATGGTTACCCTATCCCAAACCCAACAAACAAACACCTATTAAACCCTACCCCATGCATCATGTATGGTAACAAACAACCATTTTTCGAGGTTTTTTTTGAGCCTCGTCATGGCCCAGGGTCTGCTAAACCTAACTCTTTCCCCGACGACAAACCAAGAATGTTAAGCCTAAAAACGTAAGCATTCAGCAAACAGTAGTCTACGCATATGTGCAAGGTTATCCCATCCCGAATGATGTGTTCATATCAACCATAAAGTGCCAACAACCATTAAGCAAAAGTCGCAATCTGGGTAGGAGTAATGTGTTGGGATATTTAATTTTTAAGGAAGTGGGCGGGATATTTTCACAAGGTACTGAGTTTGCAAGGCGGGGGGACCATCGATTCTTAGCCAAATGCCAAGTACCATTACATTAGTGCTGTCCCTCGAGCATTTCATCATTTGCAGTAACATGATTGGTTCCTAGATTATCATTCACTAGACTCACCTTCATCTCGAAAGGCCGAACTACAACTAGGCCTCAGGTCGACTTTCATCACAAAACACTAAACCCCAACGACCCAGATGACTAGCAACGAAGTTTTCTAATCCAAAATCTTAAAATAGCAAGCTTTTGAGATGCATTCAATATCCAGTACCGAAGCTTTAAAGACTGTTTTACTTGTCTGTTATGCCAAAAAGGGGCGATCCCCACACCCTACCATATTCTAAATTCAACCTATTCCTACAAAGGCATATAGGGCTGCTAAGACGGAAAATAAATGGCACTTGAATGAGCAGAAACAGTACACTATGAAAGAGTAGCTGGCTGAATCGCATATCGAACTATCAGGCTATAACTATCGAGCCACCCTTAATTACTCCAACTGTTCATGGAAAATGACCTCGATTTTTATGCTCCCAGAAAGATTAGCAGTGATAGGGATGTAAAAGATCGGGTACTCTTCAATTCTCTTTGCAGATTTCAGAAAGTTGTTGAAATATTAATCAGTGCCATTAGAAAGCAGTACAGCAAACAATCTCAGTGTTAGTTCTCTTTCATCTACATGAAAATTCGACAACTTCGTTTTCTTAACTAAGCAAAACCATTTTCTCCTTTCATAATCATTTCAACTCGAAAACGAAAGAAAGAAAGAAAGAAAGAAAGAAACCACTAGGATCAATGCTAAAGGCTTCTATCATATTCAAGAACCATTATTAAGCATTTAAGCAATGAAAACACGTACTAAACATAGCTTAGGAAACACTAAATTCATAAAATTCAAAGCAAGGAGTAAGCTCCCTGATTAGGATGGCAATAGAAACACAACATAATCCTCAAACTAGACAAAGTTGAGCTCGGGAAGCCCACTCAATCATACACAAATGTAAAACTTGATATTAATCGACATGAACTAATACAGATAACAATAATGCCCGGGATAGAAAAACCTGAAACTATGCCAACAAGTCTTCTACCTCGGGTGACCGCCATTGGTTTAGACTCGGCAAACTCCCCTTTCCTTCTCTGCCTCCAAGATCTCTTGCATAACTAATTCATCATATCCTGCAACTTGAATTCAACGTAATAGTGAACTGTGTTGCTAAAACATGAGTGGACATAGTACGATGAAGCGACAAACAAAGAATAATATACCTTGGAGAGAAGAAACGAGAGATTATTGGGAGCTAATTCAACGACGGGAGTCAGAGGAAGCAGAGGATGGCTTGTCGGAAATGCCATCGTGCTCCTCTTCTTCACCTTGGATTCGTGCAGGAATGCGAAACCCAGAGAATTCCCCCACTCCCGTGGAGAATCCTATACCCGATAGTGATGATGGGTAAATGGGTAGCTGGTAGTGCTGCTGGTTCGGATCAACACTGGCAATGGCTATCGCGGGTGATGGGTCGATCCAAGCACGAACCGAAGGCGAGTAACTGGACTGAAGGGGTCCCCTCTGAGAAGGAAAAAACTGGTTCTGCCCACCAAACAACTGCTGGAACAGTGGCTGCTGTGGGGAATTGAACAAGTATCCTCCTGTTGCTGAAGCTGCTGCGCCACCACTGCCGCTAGCGGAGCAGGAGGCGGCAGCAGCGGCGTCTCCACCACCACCACCGTGCCAACCCGGAAACCTATGCTGATTGTGCTCAGACCAGCCTGAAGCATCGAACCCGGTTAAAATGGCTCTATGGCTAGCCGGGTTCTGGTGGTGCTGAGCTGCTTGCTGGTTTTGGTGGTGGAGAAGGATAGTAGGATCTTGAAATGACTGTAAAGAAAGCCTCAAATCTTGGTTCTGGGAAGACAGTAAATCGGAGTGCTGGGCAAAGCTCTGGAACTGCATAGAGGAAGAATTAGGAATAGGCTGCTCTGAAGCTCCCATGGGGAAGAAGGACTTAATAGTATCAGCAATGGAGTCAGAATTCAAAGAAGGAGGCAAAAAGCTCGATTCATTTTCACTCTCTTGCATTATCATGCTTCTCTTACTAGAAGGCCCAGCGACATTATCCAACAAATTGGCATCTCCGGGGGTCTCTTGGTGCTGTTTCTGGGCATCTTCTTGGTCGAAATTCGGGTTAACGGTACTGGGTTTCCAGGCGGGTAGCTCAGCAAGCTCGTCAATGGCGGGTTTGGCCTTATTGATGAGCCAATCGACGGCCTTGCTGGGGCGGTCGTAGCCGAGCCGATCCTGGACATCGTAGAACTGAATAGCAGTGTGGGCGGCTAGGCGGACCCGGCGGTCCCTGGGGCCTTTGGCTGTGCAGACCTTGCTGTGGCGGTCTTTCCGCCCCGTGGACCTCACAATGTGGCCGCCTTGGACTTCCACTATCTCGCCGCCGGCGTTCCTTAGGCCCAATCTCGACGAACTCCCCTGTTGCTGCTGACGATTCTCCGCCATTCTTCCACGCAATCTTGCATGTTCGACGCCTTCCTCCGTCGAAGGAAAATACGACCGTTTCTTGGGCGGCGGCGGCGGCGGCGGGATCCTTATTACTTGGGTATCTAGCCTCCCATATAACCGCTCTTGCTCTTGATGCTGGAAAGACGGCGGCGGCGGCGGCGGTTGCGGATTCCCCGACGGGTCTTCTTCTTCTTCTCCTTGGATTTGATCGGAAAATTGGAGGTGGCGGTGGTGCTTCTGCTGCTGATTCCTCTGAGGATCCAGCTTTTGATAAAGACAACTTTTTCTCAGTGGGTTTTTCCACTCTCTTCTTCTTCAACCTCTGAAATCTGAAACCGGCCATCCAACTTCCCGAATTCCATCACCCCAAAAAAAAAAGCCCTAACCCCAAGAAACTAAAAATTTCGTTTCTTTAGCCTAACCCATTCTTCAATTCTCTCACCCCTTCCTTCCCACACCTATTAATATTAAACTTATCCCTCTCTCCTAAACAATCCAAAGCTACTGGAAAGATACACACCCAAAGAAAACCAACAATTGAACAGAAAAAAGCAAGCAGCTACTCAAATAATGCTGTCAAGATTCAAGAACCCATGCCCTAACTTTCTGCAAACTGTTCATTTCTAGAGAGCGAGAGCAAGAAGAAGAAGAAAGGGGGAGATGGATATGTGTTTGGGTAATGAGAGGAGTAGATGCCAGTGGTGAGGGTGGCAGTGCTGGGTCAGATAAGAGGATTAAAGCCCTCTGTAACCTCATCAATGCTGCTTCTTCTGCAACTACAGTTAATTTTTTTTTCACATCAATTTAAGTCAAAATAAATTTCACCTGCATCATATTATTAAAAGAAAATAGTATACTAACCCTGCATATAAAATTTGAAAATTGTTATGCTATATACTCCACTCCATGATATCATTTAAAATTATTGTTTTTAATGTAAATCACGAAGTGTTTCAGATCTTTCTCCATTTATTTTACGATCTGATCTGAGTTCACCTGATTAATTCTTATTCGTTCTGAGAGGCACAGAAGCTAATTAGAGAGAATTTGATAACTTGATTATGAATAGTATCTGATATGGTATTAGCACCATGTATCTTACCATTTTTTTTTTTTAAACTTTGAGACAAGCATCTCGACAATAGTAAAAAATGAGGAGGCATGTTGAAAAGGTTAAAACCTCAAAAAAACATTGAGAAAGGGACCTCTCACAGCTTTTGTGGTATTTGTAGCCAAGCTGGCTTTGCCTTTCTCACTGTCTCCCTTTTTCTTTATTGCTTCTCTTAAAAGGAACAGGCATCATCCTTCCCCCTTCAAATTTCCCTCTCAACCCACCTTTTTCATCTCTTCTCTCTCTCTCTCTCTCTCTCTCTCTCTCTCTCTCTCTCTCTCTGCATCGCATCTATTCACCCTGCTTGGCTGCTTCCTTTATTTCTTTCTGGAATAGCATTATTTACTTTCTTCTTTACACACTTCAATTACCATTCTATCCCAATAACCTCTCCAGAAATATCTTGTTATTTTATTCCCTTTTTTTTCACTTATAATTGTGTAGTATTCTAACATTCGAAGTCAATCATGTGACCACCTATTTGAAAAGGTAACAGAGATGTTATCACAATAGTTGACTTGTTATTTTATTCTTAAGTGCACCCAAATGTAAAATGTTTTTGAGTGATATACGTATTCCATCAAACTAAAAGAATTTACTCCATATTTGTTTTACGGGTTAGATTGAAAATGAAATAATATTCTCAATAATAGTCTTATTTCATTTTTTATAAATCATTTTATTCTCGAAAATGAGTTATTCACATTTTACAAGAGGATTAGCTATTCCCTGGTCATTTTGGTATTAGTTTAGTCACAACTCTCAAAAATAGCTTATTTTTTGTAATATCTAATTTATCATACCTATTTTTGTTATATATTATAGATGTATTTTATAATAATAATAATAATAATAATAATAATAATAATAATAATAATAATAATAATTAATAAATAAATAAATAAAAGTGTAAATGTTTAAATGAGAATTAGGTTTCCCATGAGAAAATTAGACTAATCTCATTTGTTTATTTAAGATATCAAGGTTAAATTAAGGAAAATGCAATAGTATTTCTATAATTACAATTATGCATATTGGAAAAGAGTTTTCAAATGTATTTGATGTGGTAAATATGGTCAAGTCCACATATACGTACAGTTTGGGGGTCAGATCATCGATGGATCCTAACGGTCTGCTTGTTGGTTTAAACAATAGGCTCTCGTACATGTCGTGCTCGGGAATAGCACCTTGGGGAGCGGCAAGATCAAGTTCATGGTCGGTCTGGATCCCTATTTGCAAATACACAATCAAGTTCATGGTCGGTCTAGATCCCTATTTGCAAATACACAATCAAGTGTTGGATCCTTAACGGTCAATCAAGTGTTGGATCCTTAACGGTCTGCTTGTTGGTTTAAACAATAGGCTCTCGTACATGTCGTGCTCGGAAATAGCGCGGTTTAAACAATAGGCTCTCGTACATGTCGTGCTCGGGAATAGCACCCTAAGGAGCGGCAAGATCAAGTTCATTACACAATCAAGTGTTAAAATGCGGGTGCCCATCTTTATGGGAATCTATTGGGCTAAGGAAAGAAGGAAACTCAAGGAGTTCAGGGGTATTGAACCCATAACCTCCCACTTAATAACACAAGCATTAACTACCCAAACCACTCAAGATCTTATCTATTAAAGGACATGAAGCTCCACTTATGCATCGGAGTGCGCTGGAAGCAAAGTAGTGGCGGGACACGTGTGGCCAAGAATGAAGGTTGCCCGATGCCGTCCATTTGTCAACCATCCATGAGTCCTTTAACAATATAAATAGGGTGTCTTCCCTCCCCTTAAAAATCATCCTTTGGCTCGCCAAACCCCTTCTGGTCTATTGGTCTGAGTCTTCTCCCTTCTACTGGTATACCAGGGTTCGACTCCTAACGATAACATTGTTATTTCTATTTCATTATTAGGGCTTTTGTATTATTTACTATTCTTAGCCCATTATTTAGATTATAGCTTGTATTATTTATTTATTGTTTGGGCCAGTGTCTCGGGCCTTGTACATACTATTTTGAGCCTAGTGCCCTGGGTAATAAAGTTACTATTTTCCTACCCCCACGTTCTGGGAACGTTATGCTGTGCAACCGTGTGCACCATTTGCAAAAACGACGTCGTTTTGACGTTCGACTTTAAAATAAAAAATAAAAAAAAAATTGCATAACTACACATCCATAACTTCATAACTATACATCCAAAATTGCATAACTATACATCTATAATGTTATAACTATAAATCCAAAATTGCATAACTACACATCCATAACTTCATAACTATACATCCAGAATTGCATAATTACACATCCATAACTTCATAACTATAAATCCTGAATTGCATAACTACACATCCATAACTTCATAACTATACATTCAAAATTGTATAACTACACATCCATAACTTCATAACTATAAATCCACAATTGCATAACTACACATCCATAACTTCATGACTACACATTCAGAATTGCATGCACAACTACATATCCATAACTTCATAACTATACATTCAGAATTACATAACTACACATCCATAACTTCATAACTATACATTCAGAATTGCATGCATAATTACACATCCATAACTTCATAACTATAAATCCAGAATTACATAACTACACATCCATAATTTCATAACTATAAATCCAGAATGTGAAATTATAAAATTATGAACATATGTTTACGTAACTAACAGCAATCGAAAATGATTTTTTTTATTTAAGTAAACCGATGTCGTTTTTGCATCCGTGTGCACCATACATGGTGCACACGGATGCACAACATAATTTGCTCGTGTTCTGTACCTCTATGCTCGGTTTATGGTGGACCCGGTTCCAACAAAATCATTAGAAGTTATACCATATGTGTGTGTGTGTGTGTGTTAAGAGGATAATTTTGTCATTGGAATGCTTATTGCATTTATATTATGAAATCAAATCAAACAGTAGAATACAATTCTTAAAACATATTTCTTTTCCAAACCAAATAATGAAATGAAATTTCTTATCTATTCACGATATATTTCATTCTGCATAAAATAAGGTTCCTATTCCCTCTAAATTTATTTCGTGAACTAAACATGATATTAAGTTTATGATTGAGGAATTAGGGTAACTTTAGTGGGGAATGGAGATTTTGTGAGTATCTGTTATGGAATAAAGAGAAAGTGTGGTGACAAAAGAGAGAACAATTATTATAATATGCACCATGGTTCACCTTGCAATATGAATCACTGACATAAAATTTATTTTTAGTATATTAAAGGTTCATTTTTAGTACATTAAATATTATTTTTTGAAGGTTCTGTTTTGTATACTGAAAGTTCATTTTTAAGTATACTACTAAAAAGAACTTTCAGTACATTAAAAATGAACATTTAGTATATTAAAATTGATCATTTATTTATGGTTCACATTGCATTGTAGACCATGATCCAGAATGCATAGGTCCTTTTTTCAAAAACCCATATTAAAAAATGTGTGACTTACACGCACTCACGCGGCCTAGCGGACATGTGTTCTTCACATACTCATAGGATAATGTGAGTAGTCGTCAATTAGCAACCACTTCAATTATTATATTATTTTTAAATTTATATTTCCTTTTTATTTGACTCAATATCAAAAAACTCAAAAAAAAAAAAAAATTGAGATTGCTCTTACAACTATTAATTTCATGTGAGGGTTGACATTTCAAAGTTGTAGTACTGTTGAGAATGGCTGGAAATAATTATCTTAGAAAATGTTTATGCCCATACTAGTTACATGTTGTAGAATACAAGTAGGGTGGGTTACATCGAGTAGGGACTCTCAAGTAGGTAGAGTCATAATAAAAGACTATCAAATTGGTAAATTTAACAATTTAAGGCTGTGGCCTGTGGTCTTACTTGAATTGAGATTGATCTATTGGTATCTTGTTCTGGTATATGAAAAATATTGGTCTTTTCTTTACGTAATGCGTAAAAGTAGATGATTAATATAATAATATTTATATTAAAATTTTAGTTATATTGAAATATTTTGTATTTTTAATAATACTCCGTAATATTTTTTTTAAAAATCATAATTGTAAAATTTATATTATATTAAAAGTATAATTGATAATTTGGGTAATAATTATTGTGTATATATTTTTTTTTGAAAAGGAACGATGCAATGCTATTAATTGAAAATAATATGAAAAATACACTTATGAAGAATGGAGACCCACTCCCTCAAACCATAAAAACTTGAGGCCCTTGCTAACACATGAGCAACTTGGTTCGTTGATCAACTAGCATGACGAACTAACACGTTCCAATAATGCTTTTACAACGATTTCTAACTAACTAAGCTTGTATAAGAGTAATCAACCAAAGGTTTATGGAATCAAACTGAAGCTTTAGGGCTTGGTAGTTGGGCCCCTTGGGTCAAATTCATTCTCTTTGTTCAATCGTTATGCGTTGGACCCGTGTCCAGCATGCTTGCTGGACACGGGTAACAGTGCCGTTAGGCACTGTTATCTCCTTTTTTTTTTTTCTTTTTTTTTTTTTTTATAATTTCAGACCGCTTCGTTATAGGAGTATATGTTCATAATTTTATTACTATATTATTAATAACTGTACATTCATAACTCCATAACTGTATGTTCATAACTCTATAATTGTACATTCATAACTCCATAACTGTACATTCATAACTCCATAATTGTACATTCATAACTC